GTGACATCTGCGATCTACCTGAAGGTGTGGAAAGTGTTTTCCAGCTGGTACAGCAGTCAGGGTAGGCCTGCGGTGGCCACAGTGCCATTGGTGTTGGATTTCTTGCAGGGCGGTTTGGAAAAAGGGCTTTCCTGTAGTACTCTGAAGGTGCAGGTTTCTGCATTGTCTAATTTCGTAGACATTAGATTGGCGGAGGAGCCTCTCATCAGACGATTTATCCGAGCAGTAGGCAGAATGAGACCCCCAAGGAGTAAGGGGGTGCCAAACTGGGATCTCTCGGTGGTGCTGCAGGGGTTTCTCAAACAGCCTTTTGAGCCCCTGGGGGGGTGTTCCATCCAGCAACTGACGTTAAAGACGGCCCTCTTGGTAGCGTTGGTTTCCGCACGTAGGGTGAGCGAGATTCAGGCATTTTCTATTACCGACCCCTACTGCACCATCCTGGCAGATCGGATTATTTTGCGACCAGACCCGGCGTTCTTGCCGAAGGTGGTCTCCACCTTCCACAGGACTCAGGAGGTGGTCATTCCGTCATTTGCCACTAACCCGGCCTCTGCTAGGGAACGGGAGTGGCAGGGTATTGATGTGCGAAGGTGTGTCTTGGAGTACCTCCAAGCCACAAAACCTTGGCGGCAGTCGTCACGCCTCTTTGTTACGTTTGGGGGCCCCACTAGGGGGAACAGGGCCACTAAAAGCACGATTGCAAGGTGGCTTAAAATGGCCATAACTGACACCTACAAAGCGCAGGGCTTGGAACTACCAGGTTCGGTCACGGCACACTCGACTCGAGCATGGGCTACGTCCTGGGCAGAGCGAGCAGGGGCTACTCCAGAACAGATCTGCAGAGCAGCCACGTGGTCCAGCTTCCAGACATTCGTCAGGCACTACAGGCTGGACCTTATGACTCAACAAGACCAGGCATTTGGCAGGAAAGTCCTGCAAGCTGTGGTCCCACCCTAGGAGGTAAGATTTGTCCTCACTGATCCTCTCGATGGCTGTCCTGGAAGATGACTGGGGAAAACATGAGTTGATTACCTGATAACTCTGTTTCCAGGAATCTTCCAGGACAGCCAGTTCCCGCCCTTGGTGTGTATCCAGGTGGCATCCGAGGTTGGATGCAGGAGGGGATACTTTTGTGCATGGGGTAGCCTTCGGTCCTAGAGGTTACTGACTTGGGATGGAAGGAGGAGTCTATTTATTTAATGTGGTTGATGTGTTTCCTGTTGCAGGCAGGCGGAGCCTATATCTCGATGGCTGTCCTGGAAGATTCCTGGAAACAGAGTTATCAGGTAATCAACTCATGTTTTCTGAGCTGTGTATGGAGTCTTTAATTTTAATATATATTTGTGACATAAGGAAAGGGAAAGTCATCGAGGGGCGATATATTTCCCCTCGCTTTCTGTCCTATGTACAGGACTAGCAGAACCCAGACCGGGTTTTCGGGCTGACTTGAGTAATCCAGCTCGGGTTTTGTGTCTCTCACCTGGATTACTAATTGCTCAACCATTGCCTATCCAAGTGAGATAAAAGGAGGAAGGCTGAAACAGGATGTTGCTCTGCCCTGGGACTCGGACAGCATTCTGAGAGAGCTACAAGTCTGATGGTTGTGAGTACAAGGTTGCAAAAAAAGTACATTTGTTTGTGAGGTGGCTGAGATAAGCTCCCCACCTGGTAGAGAGGAACCTGCCTGTTTAGTCAGAACCTGATATCCTATTGCTGAGTAATAATTCATGGATGGCAAAATAATATGAACACGCAATATCCCTCCAACCTGTCTGTCCTGGGATGCGTACAGCACATGAACCCTGATGCACAGTGATATAGCGTCTTCCAATGAATGTATCTCACAGGTAAACTTGCTATTCCACTGTACACTCTGATACACAGTAATGCAGGATCTTTCAATAGATATATCACCTGGCAAAATTGCAGTCACTCTCTATAGAGGATAATGTGATCTCACCCTTGTTGTCTTCAATGGTGTCACTCGGCAATGTAGCATAACTGGGATGGTTAAGGATGAAGTGCATCTCCATATGGGATGCCGAAATACCAATCACAGTATAACAGATGTCGCTGTCCTCTGGCTGCATGTAATGCAAGTACTCCCATAACACGCAGGGGCTATATACAACAGGATAAATGGCGCCATGCGACGCTATTGACACGTTTCATCCATTGCGGAACTACATGGCATCAGTTGCGTGGCACGGCACCATGTATCTTTGAGGCTTGTAAGCCTTGCCCAGAACAACGCAGACAAATGCTATAGAGAGCAGCAACAAGTCATTACACATTGCTGCTGTCCACACCACTTAGGATTCTCCCATGATCAGTGGATGAAGAGGACCTGTATAGTTTTGTTTTGTTTTTTGGGGGGTTTTTTGCCTGGGAAGTACGGTATTTTATGAAAAGTACACCGGCTTCACTTCCCTCGCAGCACTGCGAGGCAGCCTGGCACCTGTTAAAAAAAACAAGCAAGATCTCCCTCTGACCTGTAGTTCTGGTTTAGGGGGTAAGTGCTCGGCCAAATACTTGGTATCGGCACCGACACCAATAGAGACCCCCAATGTATTAGTATTGGTAGTATTGTAGTATACTATACTGTACTACTGTAGAATTGGTGCATCCCTGTTATTTGTTTAGCACCTGCAACTTACGCAGCTCTGTTCATACTGCACATTCACATCAGTCCCTGCCCTCGGGGAGCTTACAATCTAAGGTCGCTATCTCGCATACATACTAAGGCCAATTTAGACAGGAGCCAATTAACCTTCCAGCATATATTTAGAGTTTGGGAGCAAACCGGAGTACCCGGAGGAAACCCAAGGCAAGCACAGGGAGAACATATAAGGATATGCAATCATCATTCCATTTCCAAGAGGCATTAACCCTCTGTGAGCAACTGCAAACCATTTTTCCCTTTCCAGGAGAGCCACTATAAAGCCCACATCCAGCCAAAACGTTTCTACTTGCTTTATATATAGTGGGGAAGGGTTAGAATTTTCTGCCTGTACCTTCCTCTCCCAGTGACAACTACACCCCCAATTGGTTTTCTGGGGTGTCGCTGAGACCTCTCCAGTGGGGTTACAGACAATTTATAACCTGATCAAAATTTTCACTGTTTTGACACTCTAGCCTAAAACGGCTGAAGTAAAAATTTTCTTCCACATTTATTGCGAAGGTATTTGAAGGCAGGACAGGAAAATATGCAACTTTTTAAATTGTATCCATTACAGACATTGACCTTTTTAAAGTAGAACTGAAGCCAAAGAGCATAGGAGTTTCCTATGCTCCCCGACTCTTTCTAGTGGCCCTAATGCTATGCAAATGTAAAACTCAGGTATTTGAAAAGCTGTTCGCTCTACAAATACATCCCTTTTAGGGCTTGTTCACACCATGAACAGTGCGTTCTAGAGCGGTCAGCTGCTGGAACTCACTGTATCACATCCCCGGCTGGCTTCCTGTGGGAGGGGGCGTGGCAGTGCATTGAAGTCGATGGCACCGTAGCCATGCCCAACCCCCCCCCCCCCCCCCCCCACAAACCTGCATCAGAATGCACTTTTTCTGCTATCGCACTGCAACGCAGGGCATTGTTTCATCACATGGTCCTGTGCAGCCAATCACACTGCGTGCGGGGGACATGCCTGCAGTGCCATTGACATGAATGGCACTGCCACACCCCCCTCCCGCCCCAGACGCAAGTAGACTTTGTGTATGCAATCCACGGGACAGTGCGATCAGTGCACGGGCTGGTGGAAACAAGCCCTTAGTTCCTTATCCACCAGCTGTAATGTTGGCCATGCTGGTACCAATTATAAATCATTGTTTTGCAGATGTTCTTGTCAGTTGTATTTAAAATTAAATTTTGTTTGATGGTGATACACATTTGATTATATTTTTATTTGTCCCAGATTATGATTAAAAATACTGGAATGTTTAAATATTTTGGGAGATGAAATGAATATAGAATGATCCTTTTATACCACATACACTACAACCACCTTGAAAAGGTACCAACATTTTCTAAGTTGTCCCCAGATCTAAAATGGATTGGAAAATATCCAGACTAGCATCAGTTTTTCTTTAGATGTAACAAAACGTTTCATAAGCATTCCGTCCCAGCATAACCCTTTTTAAGGATTGCCTGTTCAGGTTGTAGATTTCATCATACACTTCCATGTGACAGGCAGTTATAACTGGAATGTTGCAGAAGTTGGCTGCTGTGTCTGGCCAGATAGTGGTATAGTCATATCAGAGTCTGCAGCCAGCCGATCGGGAAGGCGGCCAGTGCTCTATAATAGGTGTTTATCAACTGTGTGTTAAAGTCGTCTGTGTTGTCATACCTGAATGTGTTTTATTATCACAGGTAGATAAGAGCCCAGAGGGCCAATTTCTCCAGCTTATGAGCCTGCCAAAGACTTTACAACAAACAATAACAGCTTTCGTAGATCAGCCGGGTAGGAATCGGGATGTAGAAGAGGTTTTATTACAAGTAGCTCTGGACCCAGACTGTGGCATTGTGGTGCAGCAAGGTAAGACCTATAACATGAGAGTTGAAGTTGCCTCTTAAAGGCTAGGTTTATGTTTCAGACCATGTTTTATGGTATACCCATATTTAGGGCCGGTTCACACCACAAAGTCTGCAAGCCGGACGGCTCCCTGCGTTCAGGGGCGGGAGGGGGTGTGACGGTGCATTAAAGTCAATGGCACCGCAGCCACACCCCCTGCCCGTAGTGCGATCGTCCACACCGGAACGCATAGCACATTAGTGCCTGCGTTCCGGTCCAGTGCGATCGTCCACACCGGAACGCATAGCACATTAGTGCCTGCGTTCCGGTCCAGTGCGATCTGCAAAAATAGTGCTTGCCACACGTTCAGGTCGGGCAGGGGGCATGGCTGCGGTGCCATTGACTTTAATGCACCGCCACGCCTTTGAGCGCAGGGAGCCAGCCGGCGTGCGTTCCAGAGGCAGAACGCAGACTATGTGGTGTGAACCAGGCCTTAGGGTGTAACCTAAAACAGCGTCCTCAATCTCTTTTTCTGCAGCCCCTGTTAGAGATGAACAGGAATCCTCTATACTGAGTGTTCCTGTTCATTCATATCTTGTGGACAGAGTATGTTTACTATATACACAATTATGAATGAACAAATGAACCGGAAGTAATGTAGATCACTTCCTATTCATTCATAACTGTAATTAACTGGACATAGTATGAGTTACTATGTACCAAACAGTCAATGATCACTGATCGCTGACTGCTTGTACTGCTCTCCTTCCTGGATCGGCTGTCACAGGATGCCCCCCTCAGCCTCCTCTGACCGATCAGGATGGAGAGAGGTGTGGGGGCGGAAACAGCCATTTGCTGTCACTGGAGCCTGTGACAGCGGTGAGGGGCTCCTATGACGCACACGTCTGTCTCCACCCCCACACCGATCTCCATCCTGATCGGTCAGAGGATGCTGAGGGGTGCGGTACAGGAGGAGAGCTCGGCCTCCTGTGACTTTGCGGCTCACAGCGTTCTCCTCCCCTGCCCCACTCGGCTCCTGACAGTTTCTCTCCTCCCTGCTGGGCGCTGCGCTGTGCCCGAGCGGACATAGAGCAGCGTCCAGCGGGGAGGAGAGAAACTAGGCACGCACTGCAATTTTGGACAAAAGATGGCACTTTGCCAAAAGTGCAATTTTCAGCCGAAATTTCGCTGCGTCCAAAGTCTTTACATAAAAAAATTGCATTTGTTGATCATTGCAATTCTTTTGTTATCCTTCCATTTGTCACCAGATTTTCACATTTGGAGCGATGGTTAATACAGTGCGAGTGTAAATGAATTGCCCTTTACTTTCACACTCGGTTACTTGCCTGTGATGGGTAACATCTGTTTTCTGCTTCTTTTACAGCTATTTTTGGCATCGTGAAATCTTTCAGTTTGAGTCAGAGCACCAAAGGGATATTTACTGCTGGTAAGAGCTCAATAACAAATCTGCCCGGCTACTGTGTACCACCAGTTGCTGTAACCTGGGTCACTGAGGATCTTTCCTGTCTTACTATTTTTATCGTATTTCACAATACTACCACAGTCCATACTGTTCAGTTAAAGTGTATCCAAAGCCAAAACCTAGTACATCCCAAGCCAAAAGTGAGGGGAAAATCCAACGTTTTGACATTTTCCAAAGGCGACAACTAAGAGGGGATTTCCTCTCACTTCCTGTTATGTTTGTGTCTTAATGATTCCGTCATTTATCCAAATAAATTAAAAAAAGACTAGATTAGGAGCAAAGTCTGCCATAATCCTGTGCATACGTACACATTATGCAATGAAGATTTATTTGGGCTTTTAAGTGCAAAGATCTCGCCATCTGAGCAAAGAATGAAGCCAGTGTGAAATGCAACCGTCCAGAATCTACCAACAATGGAAATTTCACTTTTAGTTGGACTTGCCCTTTAAAGGATGCATAGATTATTGTGTATCTCTTATGCAAGGTACTTTTACTTCCCAATTTTTCAGCAAATGGAACATGTCGCTCAGAGGATATTTTGATGGGTACAAGGAATCCTTCTGATTGTTTAAGTAAACACAACGTTAAAGAAATGTGGGAATTTAAAAAACGTATCCTTGCAGTGGGACTACCCCCCGCACTGCAAGGATTAAGTGCTCGTTTTGTCTAGGGAGCTTAAATAAAGCAGCTATACTCACCTGATCCTCGGTCCTGCGGCAGTCAGCACTCAAATCCCTCCCCCCTCCCCTTCACCTATGGAATGTCCCTCAGAGTCCTCACATAGAATGCAAGTCGGTGGACTGGCATTAGATGTGATGATGTCCACGGTCCTTAGGCCAGCAGAGGCCAGGAGAGAAGAGGCTGCATGGGCACAATTGTAGCAGCCCGGCGGGACTGAGGATCAGGTGAGTAAATCTGCTTAATTTGAGCCCCTGAACCAGTGGTTCTCAACTTGTGGGTCGCAACCCACAGTTGAGGGGTCGCTATGTGCCTTGTGCTGCGCTAGGTGAGAGGCTCCTCAGCCTCCCGCTAGTGCAGCAGTGTCAGTTCTCCAGCCGCGCCATTAGATGGCACTGTGGCAGCCAGGGAGGATCAGAGAGAGGGGAGTGGTTGATCACCAGGGAGCCGCACTGCCCAGCACGGGGAGCCGCACTGCCCAGCACGGGGAGCCGCACTGCCCAGCACGGGGAGCCGCACTGCCCAGCACGGGGAGAGAGCCTGCGCAGCCTCCAAAGAGCCCACACAGATACTAGTATTGGTGCATTCCTAAATTTTACCATTGCGGGTCACCACAACTTGGCAAGTGTTACCAAAGGGTCCCGGCCCTAGATAGGTTGAGAACCACTGCCCTAGACAAAACGAGCACTTCACCCTTTTAGTGTAGGGGTAGCGCCACAGTAAGGGTAACTTTGTTTTTTGAATTCACAGGGGCTCTTTCAAGTGCTGGTAAACCAATAGTTTTATTAACCTCTTGCCGTCCGCCCGTAGTAAAAAAACGGACGGACGGCACTGCAGCATCTGCGGGTTGCCGTCTCCAGACGGCAATTTTTTTCTGCACTAGATAGGTTTAGTCAGCCACTAATTTTGTAAAACTGTCAAAATGTTGAAATGCATACGTGTGCATAACAATAGCCCATGCCCAGCCATACTCCCCCTTCCCTGAATTCTTGTTTTATGCTTCTGTGATTCACACTTTGTTTGTTTTTTGTTTTTTTTGGTCTGTAGTCTGGCTTGAGCTACAAGTCACATTTCTGGCATCTACTGCAATAGAAGTATAATTTTGGTGGTAAACTTTCTAAGGTCCATTAATGTGAGTTTAAGAAAGGACATGGTAGGGCAAACAACATTTTTACAGAAGTGAGATGTGTAATAATTCACAAAGTTTTTTGCTAAAATCCTTCCAAGTTTTATCGAAAGTGGATTTTTTTCAAAGCGCGTTAACACTTTAAAGCCTTGGTTCTCAACTGGAGGGTTGCGACCCTTTGCTCAGTGGGTCGCCGCATGCCTTCCCCTTTTCTAGGTGAGAAGCTCCTATGCCTTCCCCTATCGCAGCACTGTCCGTTCTCGTGCCAAGCAGCCATTAAAAATATGCTGCCTGGTGCCGAGTGTCAGCTTTAGGTGGAGCAGGCTGGGGCTATGGCCGTGAGGGAGCTCCATCCATACGTGCATTGCTTATAGCTCCCTCACGTGTCCTGTAGAGGTACCTGAACCGGAGTGACATCACATTCTGGCTCCCAGCACCTCTACAGGGTGCGCAAGGGAGCAGTACAAGCAATGCACATATGGATAGAGCTCCGTCACAGCACAGAAGCCCACACTGGATCCTAGGCTGACGGTTCACTCCAGTTCTTGTATGGTAGGGAGACTGGAACTTAGAAAAAAATTTGAGATTTTGTCTGTGTATGTATGTCGTGTTTTTGAGGGCCTGTTCACACTAGTACAGTGTGTTAAACTGTACAATGCTATCGCACCTACCCTGCATTCTGGTGTGTGAGGTGTGTTGCATTGCCATTCATTTGAATGGTACCCCAAACACACCTCTCACATAGTTCGTACGCCCGCACCGGAACGCACAGTGACCTAATGCTGTGCGTTCCATTGCAGTGCCACTTGGGTCGCGACCTAATGGCCAAGGACAAATGTGGGTCCTGAGGTTACACAGATTGAGAACCACTGCTTTAAAGTATAACTAAACTCTCGTCCCAAAAAACAGATATTTAGAGGAGATTATCTCAACAAGACCATATGCCTTTTGTAAAAGAAAATCAGGCTTTCTAATTTTGTAACATCTACCATGAGAGTTCATTCCATGGGTGACCATGCTGGTACTGCTTAGAGAGCCCCTTGGGCAACATTGATACGCTAGCACAGTAAGTTCCAATAGAGACTTTAATTTGTGCATTCATCAGGTTTAAATATGGAAACATAAAGGTAAGTAAGTGGTAGGAACAGAACAAGGACTTGGTAAGGAAATGCTAACAGGGTTATTCACAAAAGGGTGAAGAGTTAGGCGAAGGTAGGAGAAGGGAACAATCCAGCTGAACGTAGCTGAACTGGAAAGTGAGATGAATTGGAGAATTTTTCCAGTTCAGCTATGTTGGCCTAGATTGTTCACTTCTCCTGTCTTCTCCAAACTCTTTACCCTTTTAGTGAATAACCCTGTTAGTGATTTTTAAAATGAAGGCTTAATAATCATTGGATTAAGCACAAGCCACCCATAGACCTGAGAAGATGATCAGATTTGCATGCAGTCTTGCATCCCTCAGGCAAAATAACCCCATGGCTCATGACCTCACCTGAAACAATGCTGTACACACCTATTATATATATTCTCTTGTGCTTGTATCTCCTCTAAACATGCTAAGCTGTATTATTTGGTATATGTTATTTTCTGTAACGTTGTGTTTTCTGCATCAAACTGCTCCTGATCATTTTGAGCTCCGTTCCTCCCAGCGATCACATTTCGCTTTAGTCCTCTGTGACCGTTTTACTATTCTTCCTGCTTAGTCCAAACTGAACAGTGTATTTGATTTCACTATCATCATCTGTTCTTTATTTAACAGAAAAGCTGCAGTTAATTTTATTTTCACCAAGCATGACTTTAATCTCAGATTGTTAGGACATTTATAGAAAGTATCTGTATTATATTACAGATTGCAAAAAGGGGTTTTAACTATTCCCTACTGTGTCCATAATAATAATTGAAAGGCACTTTATTTCTTCCCCTAAACCTTCAAAAGCAAGTCCCAACTCCACCGATGTTGCAGGATTTAGCATACTGTGCCTTTAACCCTTTACTGGCAGAACCAGTTTTACATTTATTTATTTTTTCGCAGATGTGTTAAAATGCACACTTTAGGCCTGACGATTATCTAAAAGCCCCCAGAACTATGCATTTCCTGACAGCAGAGAACCAATTTATTGGTCAAATTTAAAAGAGGAGGTTGCACTGCTTGTATAGATGCCAAACATGCCAAGCTTCAAAATTGAGTACACCCACGAAATGGGAAAAAACGATAGTACCAAAATTGTCTATAAGCGAGGCTTTAAAAGCCTTTACAGGTCATCCGTTTACAATTCTAGAATTATCGCTCTCACTCTGGCCTGCACAGTTTAATTTTTTTGTTTTTATTGCTTTCATTTTTTATTTATTTTTTTACACTTACATTTATTGCTATCACATAGGGGACTAAAAAGCATAGTATGTGATAGGCAATTTACATGACAGGTCCTCTTTATGGAGGCATCAGGGGTCTCTAAGATCCCTAATGTCACCTAGGGACCCCCAGAAAAGCTTCTGTAGTCAGGAATGACGGTTGAATACGGAAGTGATGTAATATACATCACACCGTGGAGGAGATTAGAGGGAGATCGTGTACTGATCTCTGGTGACAGTGCGGCACCAGGGGTGAGGGGCGCACACCCGCACAAAATACAATCGATCCAGCGACTCTATAGCCGTCCGCCAGAATGCTTGTGTTTAAACAGCCGGCTGTTTACATTTTAGGTAGTTTTCCCACTCGTGCGCACGCTGGGCGCCACGCACGAGTGGGGGCATGGAAGGACGTTTTTATAATGCCCACCCGCATCTACTAGGCTCCCATCCGGCCATTAATGTACAGCCGCTGGACTGGAGGTGGTTAAGAAGTCAGTAGTTCTGAAAGTCAGGTAGTAGTCAAGTTTAGTCAGATTATTTTCCCTGTCCTGATAGGAAGGTTTCCCTTGACTTCCTGACATGGACACGCAAAAGGAAGTGAGAGAAAATCTCTACAACGTTCTTGGACATATGTCACTGGAACAGGTGCCCCTATTGGAAGGTTTTATCCTACCTCTTGTTCTGGTACAATAGGGTGATTCTAGCCAGCTGGGACATTGACAGCTATTAAAACTTGAATGGGGTTCTAATCCTTCCCTACTCTATCCAAAGCAAAAAAAAGTGTTTTGTGAGCTACTCAAGTTAAATATATCACTTGGACACCAGAGTGTCAAAGGCTTTTCCATCAGACGTTAGGTAGGAATGAAACATGTTAGTAAATGGGAAGAGTTATTATTTAGATAATGGAAATGACTGATCTGTGAACAAATATTACACATAATGATAGTGATTAGTCATTAGAAGCCACTTTGTGTGCTTTTCTGCTAATGTCGTTAAGTGTCTAATAACCATACAGTGAATCAGGTCACCCAATGTAGAACATTAGTAATTTCTACCAACTGCACACAATGTGCCTTTTGTATGTATAGTTATGTCTTCTATCATTTCCTCTTCAATGGCTATGAAATGCTCTTTTGCCAGCGATATTAGAAAGGTAATTTTTCATTTTAGGTCTTGCTGGTCGATCTATTTCTTTTAGCAGTGTTCCATATTACATCAAATTTAAGGCACAGACATACTCCTATTATATATTTTTAAATTGCCAAAAGAGATCTAGAGTCAGTTGTTCGACTTAGTCCTTATATCCTAAACTAACTTGCTTTGAAAAAGAAAAAAAAAATCTCTTGATTCTAGTATTGCTGCTTATTACCCCGGCTGGATTTCTACTACTTCCAATATTATCAGTGCAGCGTTGGTGTCATTCTGGCCCCTTCATGTAAAGGATGCAAGTACATAGAAAACTACACTTTTCAGTTTGCTGATTTCCCACTACTGATGATGTCACAGAAGGGGGCGTTCTCTATTCCCTGTGTATCCAGAATGCAGAGGCGGAGTCTTCCTTTATTTGCAGAGGACGACTGTCCTGAAGGTGTTGGTTATGGATGATGTCACTCCTCAACAGCCAAACTTTCTCAGGTTCAGTTGTAGTACCAGCGCCACGTATGATGTGGGTGACACGGCTGTGCACATTCAACACTCAGGCAAGAATATTTTGTGTCACGGTAATTAAAGGAGAACTATGAGGTGAGTGAAAATCACTCATCCTCATAGTTCGAGCCAACGTATGACAATGAAACTGTCGCACGTTGGCTCAAATCGGGAAGTGAGTGAACAAATACCATTGCTCGCTCACTTCTCGATAATCTCCCTGCAGAGATAAGCGACTGTCAGTCACGGCTCCCCGCAGGGATTCCCCCCCACTCCGACCCTTCAGCGCTGACTGGAGGAACGGATGGGGGAGGGGGCGGTACAGCTGGCTCTGCTTCTAGATAGGCAGAGCCAGCTGTCACTCACGCAGCTGGATGGATCTGGAAGGTAATGTCGGGATCCGTCCCGGCTGCGGCGGTCTCAGTATACCCTGAGCTGTAGCTGGCGTTATACTGAGCTTTGGGTCACAGGAGGACGCTAGTGTATGTCCTCCCGTGACCCTTAAGAGAACTACGAGGAAAAACACCCTATAGTTCTCTATTAAGGAAGCAGGTACTGCAGGAATGTTTGTTAGGCTCGTTTTGCAACTTAGAGAGCATTGTTTTTGTAATAACTATGCCACAATACATGCAATGCCTTAATACATGCTTGATTTTCATTTTTAACCATAAACATTTTAATATTGGAGATAATCTAAATAGACAAGTTTTAAAGGCACAATGCATCTGTATATAAACATTCTCCAAGCAGGTGTCCGGTGTTGGGAGAATGTTTATAAATGGTTAACATTTTCAGTTGCAGCACCCTTTAGAGATCACTCTAGTCTCCAGGAGAGAGTTGTATATTGCTTTAGGGAAACTATTGGATTTGATTGTTGGCCATAGCACTCAATTGCTAGAATTTTCTAATCTCTTCACTACCAACAATGCCACGGCAGCAGATTAAAAGGATGAAGACAAACCTGTGGTCACTGTAGCTTACATGGGTTTATTTTTTCTGCAGCCTCTTACGTGGATTATACAAGTGATCAGGGGGGTGGGGGTGGGGGGGACTATACAGCCTCCTGATCGCTTCTGCATGTGTGCAGGCAAATGAGCAGATAGTCAAAAAACCTCCTGTGTGGTCCCCTGGCTTACCTGGCGCCCCTTGTGAGAGCAGCAAATAGAAGAAAATGTAATAAAATAAACCAGAAACCTTTCCCTATATTTTTTTTATATACCGTGTTTCCCCGAAAATAAGACAGTCTTCTATTTTTTTGGGCTCCAAAAAACAAACTAGGTCTTATTTTCAGGGTAGGTCTTCTTATTTTTTTTGTTTTTTAATGTATAACAATCCAAATGCAAATCCAAATTTAAATAATCCAAAATGGCAAAGTTAAGAATAGTGTGATCAGGGCAATCAGGGGTGCCATACCTTTCCATTAAATGGCACCGCTGAGTCTCTCCTGCGGCTCTTCAGGTTCCCCCTTATGCCACCACCTGCCCTGGCAATGGTCACAACTAGGTCTTATTTTCGGGGTAGGTCTTATATTTTAGCAATTCCCAAAAATAGTACTAGGTCTTATTTTCATGGAAACAGGGTATATATAATTATACATTAGGCAAACCCTAATGGTACATTAGACATTATCACACAAGCTAGAGATAGAATAGGTTTAGGGCCATAATTTCAGTTTTCAGTTTTATGCATTTGTTTATCCACCATACAGTGCTGACATGTTTATCAAAACCTGCACATACCGTATTTGGGGCCCCTGCACTTGGGATAAAGAGGAGGGAATAATTTAGTAAAAATATTAAGAATAGTTTTAATTGCACAAAATATCTTAGACATTAATCAAACTAAAACTGCATTTTTTTTCATTTATTTGTCTATTTGTTACCTTACAATAATACAAAAAAAATAAAAATCTTAGCTGGGTATTTATCAAAGCTGTGTGCCAATTAAAAACGTATATGCCCCTAAAACAATGTAAAAATAGTTTTGGTAGGTAAAATAGTCAGAGTTATTATAAGGATAAAATACATCTAAAGGTTCATGTATGGCAGTCTAGGCAAACCCCAAACCTAGTCACTATGTGATGTACAAGCCTCAACAACAAACATCTTTTTTTTTTTACCTTCCAAAATCTTCCTTTATTTGTACTTTACATGCTCCCCCATCTAGACACTGCAGCTCACATTGGGAGGGTTTCAGTAACAGAGGTAGTCCTGTCAATGCAGAAAGCAGTGGGTAGGACTAGGTGTAGCCAGATGCTGATTGACCAGCTACATGCCTAACTGAGGCACAGAAATAGACATGCCTTTTATCAGTCCCGGCACCCTTTAGAAGTAAGCAAAATGTCGAGGCACCCTAGTCTAACATGTAAAAAATGACATGTGGCCCTTCCAAAATCCATACCGGGCTCTTATACCAGATAGGTTTCTGGTATGGATTTTAGGGAAGACATTACACACAAATAAATAGGGCCCCCCTCACAGCAGTTTTCCCTTCATATCAGGAGCTCCTTTCACATCAGAGTCCACCCTTTCGCACTATGAGCCCCCTCCTTTCATGTCAGAGTTCCCCTTCACATCAGAAGCCTACCTGCACCATGGAAAGGCATGACACTGTGCAAACATTTCTAGGCACCCTGAGGTAGGCAGAAGACACACCATGGTGCCTTGGGAGCCTGGTTGAGTAAGGCTGAGATAGACATTGTACTAACCACTTCCATTTATATGGCATTACCTCACTTTTCTGTTTACAGCGATTGTGAGTGTTTTAATAGGATTGTGCAGTCTAGTAGGCTCCAGGGTTAGACCAAGTGCTCTCAGTTATCAGCACCCATTAACAGTCATGACCTGGTCTGACACGCATACTAGTCTGTTTGAGGACAATTGTGCTGAGGATGTGACTCTGCCCACGTAGTTCACTGGAGGGTAAGGGCAGAGAGCAGCATTTTCACTAAGAGAAAAAAATATTTTAAGCCATTTCTAAGCAAAAAGCAGTCACAAACCATGCAGGAACTCATGGCTATAAAGATAAAAGGGTCTTAACTGAGCATTAAATGGTTTGTGTACTTTCAGACAGAATACCCTCTCTCACCCTTCCTCCTGACTTAAACAAGCACACCCCAGCTGAAATAAGAATACAATTAGACATTTATGGGTGTGTTGAATACTCAAAACAATGCAAAATTATGCATGAGGATAACAAGCACTTCTAATGCTCCGACTTAACCATATGCAACTAGTTGTGACAAGTGACACTCTGCTGCAAACACTTGGCCATGTATGGCTACTATTAGTTTCTTAAGAATTAAGTGGGACATCTGCATTCCAATTAATTATTGCTGGGATCGTACAATTCTTCCTCCTCTCTCTAGAATTGCTGATGCCCTTTGCCGATAATGGGTCGGTACAAGTATCTTTAAGTTTAAAAAATCTTTTATTTTCGAAAACATCTTCTAACTGAGAATTGTTGTTTAGTGTGATTCAGCTTGTATTGTTCTCTTTTGCAGGAGTGAAGAAAACCATTTCATATAGTGCAAAAAAACTCTACAAAATGGTGAAGAGTCTTCGACGAGACTCATCGTCATGATTGTTTTCTAATATTTGTATATTTATATGTTTGATTTTCATTCGTTAAATAAAATGTAATTCTGATGAAGTCCAATGCAACTTCCAACTGTTTACAGAATTTATGAAGTGTTTTATTGTTTATATATAGTTCAATATACAGTATGTGTAAATGGATAATAAATTTGTTATGATATATTACATGCATGTTAAAGCACATCCGAATGCCTGATTGTAGGTGGTAGCACAAAGTTCCTTGGATCCATTATGATCCCCCCAGTATTCTGATGAGCTCTTCCTGTAACAACATGACACTTTTTTTTGGCCAGATGCCTGAAGCACACGGTGTTATATCTGAGATTGGCAGAGCTTGTTGTGGCCGTAAAGGAGAACTATGGGGTCAGGGCTTTTCCCCGTAGTTCTCCTAAGGGTCAAGGGAGAACACAAACTAGCGTCCTCCCGTCACCCAAAGCTCAGTATATAGCGGGCTACAGCTCGCGGTATACTGAGACGCCGGGACGGATCCCGGCATTGCTGTCAAGACCCACCCAGCTGCGGGATTGACAGCTGGCTCTGCCTATCCAAAGGCAGAGCCAGCTGTACCCTCCCCCGTCCGTTTCGCCAGTCAGCGCTGGAGGATCGGACAGGGGAGGGGGAGAATCCTGCAGGGAGCCGTGAGTGGCAGTCACAGCTCTCTGCAGGGATAGACCGAGAAGTGAGCGAGCGACGGTATCTGTTCGCTCACTTCCCGATCTACTGAGCTGACCTGTGACAGTTTCATTGTCACAGGTCGGCTCAGATTATGAGGCTGAGTGGAAATCGCTCATCTCATAGTTCTCCTTTTAACATAACCTGATCACGTGTCCTGCATATGTGTATCTTTCATTCTATTTATCCTTCAGAGTTCTGCAGTGTCCATCAGTTTGTGTCTGTCATTGTTGGTATATCTTAATGAATAATGTTCTTTCTGAAACAATAATAAGGTGGCCTGATGCTTTCTGTCTTTTTTTTTGTCACTGAGCACGTTTACGAAGACATAGATATAAAGGTGCACAAACACTGTTCGAATTTTGGCTGGTTTTTGAGGAACTGGCACTGTGTGCGCCGCTGTTGGGACCCTTTCAATTGGCATCCCTCGACCAGCTGATCGAAGGAGCTGGTCTGAAAATGTTCAATCGATCAGATACAGCAGCCATTGATCTACCTCGCTCTGTTCGGTTATTCTGGCAGGGGCCGGCAGCACCTGTTAGAATACAATGTAAACAGTGGGATTACTCGATCGGCACGCTGTTAGTGTTGATTGAGGAATCTGGTCTATTTTTTTTTTAACATTCAAAAAAATAGATCAGTGTATGGCCAGCTTAAGACTCTTGCCTCATTGGTAAGATTAGGAAATCATTGTATATTCTTTGGCTATTGAAAACTACTCGTATACTTCTGGGTCAAACAATCACAGGGGAAAGGATCGATCTGCCAGGATGGGTTTTCTCAGGTAGTCATTATTGCACTCCCCCCGCTTTAAGATCCAAAAAATACACAGTTTAGATAAATATTTATAGAAGCCATCTTACCTGCTACAAAGATTTGCATTTCTATCTATCCAGTCCTGAGCTTTACTCAGTCCTACCACACAACACAGCCAGCCTGGTGAAAAGTAAGTAATCTACCTGCCCTCAGTCTGTAATTGGATAGTGAAGGAGCAATAATAGACTGATGAGGTAATCTCTCTGCTCCTTCCTAATGTTGGCACGTCCCTTGTCAGCTTATGTAAAGGCAGGACATCTGATTGGCCCCAAGTACTGTGCCTCCTTGTTCTAGACTGAGTGCTGCTGTACAGAATATTACAATGGTTGAAATAATTTTAGGTCTATTGAGGTATTTAGGTTAGATACACAGTGAGACTGATCCACAAAATAAAGCACGCTCTGACACGACCATGTGTCAGAGCGGAGAAGATGGCCGCGGTCGTGTTCGTCACCCGAGTACGCGAATGGAGGCAAAATTTTTGTCACCTTCATTAACGCTCTGCACATTCTTGTCACCTTCATTAACGCTCTGCACATTCTTGTCACCTTCATTAACGCTCTGCACATTCTTGTCCCCTTCATTAACGCTCTTCACATTCTTCTCACCTTCATTAACGTTCTTCACATTCTTGTCACCTTCATTAACGCTCTTCACATTCTTGTCACCTTCATTAACGCTCTTCACATTCTTGTCACCTTCATTAACGCTCTGCACATTCTTCTCACCTTCATTAACGCTCTGCATATTCTTCTCACCTTCATTAACGCTCTGCACATTCTTCTCACCTTCATTAACGCTCTGCACATTCTTCTCACCTTCATTAACGCTCTGCACATTCTTCTCACCTTCATTAACGCTCTGCACATTCTTATCACCTTCATTAACGCTCTGCACATTCTTCTCGCCTTCATTAATACTCTGCGCTTTCTTGGGAGCCATGCTGGATTGAATACAGTAATACTGTACAGTACTGTGCTACAAAGCACACAAAAAAGCTTAACAGTAAGTGTCCACAGGCCTGTCTGCGAGTACAGGAAGCCACGACCATGTGTCAGAGCGGAGAAGATGGCCGCGGTCGTGTACATCACCCGAGGCAGAGTTCGCGAACGGAGGCAACATTTTGACGAACTTCCTGGTCGCGAACCGAATTGTTCATGAACCGAGGTACCACATACAGGTGAAACTCGAATAATTAGAATATCGTGCAAAGTTCATTTATTTCACTAATGCAACTTAAAAGGTGAAACTAATATATGAAATAGACTCATTACATGCAAAGCAAGATAGTTCAAGCCGTGATTTGTCATAATTGTGATGATTATGGCTTACAGCTCATGAAAACCCCAAATCCACAACCTCAAAAAAGTAGATTATTACATGCAATCAATAAAACAAGGATTGTACATAGAACAATATCGGACCTCTGAAAAGTACAAGCATGCATATGTACTCAGTACTTGGTTTGGGCCCCTTTTGCAGCACTTACTGCAATTACTTTTGCACGATATTCTAATTATTCGAGTTCCACCTGTATATATTTTTAAATTAAATATGTGTGTAGGTTATGCTGTTATATGAAAAGGTTTGAGTATTTACCAAAAGAATCTGTATTGCACTGGTGCTTAGACTACTGAGCATGCACTGTATAATAGCCCCACATCTATAGTTCTTTGATGATTTAAAAAAACATAATTTTTTAACAGTCTCTTTTAATAATAGACCTGGACGCTTGATGCAGTTTTTTTTTCCTATTTAGTAAATGCATCTAAAAATGCAAACAGAGCTTAGATAAATGGATCCAAAAAAATCAGGAGGAAATCAGATCTTTATTTTAGGTCACAGCTTAGCTGGTATATATTCAGACGCTGACGTATGCATTCTATAGTAAGGCACCTTTGTTTATACTGTATATTCTGTTTATGTTTGCTGCAGCCTGTGCATGTTCGTTTACAGACTTTGTAGGCAAATAATACATTTCACGAGTCTAGGCTTGTTCATGTGACAACAATATAAATAATCAGTGATTATAACCCTTAGTAAATCTGGACCAGATTTTTTTCTCCAAGTCATTATAACATCGAGATGATATAACCTGCCATGTGTTTGTGACTGAAATCCGTAAGGTGGTTTACGCTCTCATCCTGTATAGAAGTGTGCAGCAACCAAACACTATTGAAGTACTCTGTACCTGCTCTGTGCTTGGTGGCTTACAAGGTACGTAAGTGGACAAGTCACAGCTCGGCAGAAAGGATCAGAAGGTAACAAATGATAAATCTCAAGCCTCCAAGCCAGGGTTCATGTGCAGGCCTGCTCCACCTTGTCAAAATAAAGCTTCGGGCCTGGAATGGGTAGAGTATGTGGGCTTGGCTATGAGTAATAACTTCACAAGGTTATGGGCAATTTATTAAAAACAAAGTTTGTGTCATTGACATCAAGGAGAGAATGGTTGATTGGGGCCACTTACGATCTGTGTTATCATTCCAGAAATACATTGAAGTTATCCCTAGTGAAAGGCACTTTTAGGGTGAATCATTACATACAGTATATTCACATCATTAGATGTTTGCTTGTTGAGCACAATAGAGTCCAACTGCAAATACAAAGCAGACTTGGTTAGTAAAGAATATCAAACCATACTTGTGGGCACATACCTGTGGAGGGTTTTAGTTTTTTTAAATACAGACAATGCTGCTAGTGTGGAAAAATAAATGGAGACGGCAGAAGGCATTCGATCCAATATTAACATCTGCAGGCAGTTGGTAGGATTTATTTTATGCTTTTTACTAGACGTGTGCGATTCGTTTAGTTCAGAATCAAAATACGTACGAATTTCTGAATCCCAATGCTTCCGAATTTCGGATTCCGTACGAATTTCGTTCAAAAAATAAATTGTATCGGACTTGTGACTTTTCTGGCCAATCGGATGTTTTTTTGGTTTAATGCATCTGAATCAGAATTTTCGAACTGCAATCAGCAGCTCCTGAATACCATTCGGGTGTGGGAGCTTTAGGTTTAGTTTTATGTGTATATGGGTCACAATGTTGCCGATACGAACATTCGTTCGTATTATAAAATACTACTTGTATATACATAATACTAAAACTGATGCTCCAAGACCCGAATGGAGTCCGAATTTCCAAATAGCATTCGAGAGCTCCCGAATGTTATTCGGGTCTGGAAGCCTCAGCTTTAATATTATGTATGTATATTTATATGGCTCCCAGACCCGTATTGCTTTCTGGAGCTCCCGAATGGTATTCGAAAAAGTCAGACTACCGAATGCCATTCGGGTCTAGGAGCTTCAGCTTTAGTATTAATATCTGTATATGGTTTTCTGTGCTATTCGAAAATAATATTCGTAAACTCATCCGAAACTAACAAATTCGGATTTTGTCCGCATCCAAATCCCGAACCAAATTTCAGATACAAATCCGTAAATAACGAAATATCTGACCTGAACCGAATTTTTCCGCAACTTACATTTCTACTTTTTACCTATAAATA